TGCTTTGGGAGAGAATGCCCAAGGGGTACAGAGGAACAAAAAGGTTGGGAATCCCTGATTTAGATGAACTGAGGACAGCATGACATTCCAGTTCTCATATATGTAGTAGAGTCAGTTGATATGCAAGCTTAAGTTTCAGTCTCACAGTTCTGAAGTCACTACATAACTTCCCACTCAAAAGTGCCTTTGTTTTACATAATTTATTTTATGATAAACGCGTTTAATTTCCATAGATACATATGCATACCAAAGATCTTGAAACCCCAATACATTTTCGATATACTCGGCCACTCTCTTACTGTGGCGTTTTTCTATTACATTTAATTATACTTAGATTTGTATTATAAAATGGATGTTTTATAGATACTGCATCCACTAAGACATAAATTATAAGGTTAATATTATAACACGCCTTTTTAACGTTGTGTTTCTGGTTTACCTAACGTTACAACAGTCGCTGTATGTGAATCGTCGTGCGTGTCAATAACTTCACATCAAACGTATGATTTCGTGGCCACTTTCTACCCACGTTCAACTTATCTTTGTCACAAGTTTTGTAAATTCCCTTTAATACGTTGATTCAATAAAATATACTAAATAATTTTCAAGCTATAAGGACTCCATTTTTTCTCACTAGAGATATTCTCTCTCTCTTCCAGTTATTACGTGGATACCACATTACATTAAGTATTCTCAAGGTACGAGGGTCCTGGTCGCAGTTTTTTTACTGTATTGTTTTAAAATTTTCATTGTTACGGAATTTAATAAAATATGCTAAGTAATTCTAGAGATACCGGAGCTCCTGGTGGTAGTTTTAATACTTTCTATGCATGTGTAACAACTTCCATACCGTTCATTTAGCAAAGTTATTTTGGTAGTGAATAATGTCGTGGAGATCAAACAGGTTAATTACTTTAAAAAGCACATCAAACTTCGGGAAGATAGTTCCCAATAAAAGGCAAACACCTAATTACGTCATTTTCCTTTTCTTAAAGGCGGTTCTAATTGTCATTACACTAACTTTTCTTAACTTAAAAATCAAGTAATTATACAGCAAGTTTCACAAAAGAAAAAATAATTTATACCAACGAGATATTAGGTGTAGGTCTTGTGGAGAATATGACACACTGAGTTTAGGTTATCGGGATAAAAGATGGTTGGACGTTGTATAAGGTGTAGGCCTTGTGGAGAATATGACACACTGAGTTTAGGTTATCGGGATAAAAGATGGTTGAACCTTGTATAAGATCTAGGCCTTGTGGAGAATATGACACACTGAGTTTAGGTTATCGGGGTAAAAGATGGTTGAACCTTGTATAAGATCTAGGCCTTGTGGAGAATATGACACACTGAGTTTAGATTATCGAGATAAAAGATGATTGGACGTTGTATAAGGTGTAGGCCTTGTGGAGAATATGACACACTGAGTTTAGGTTATCGGGATAAAAGATGGTTGAACCTTGTATAAGATCTAGGCCTTGTGGAGAATATGACACACTGAGTTTAGGTTATCGAGATAAAAGATGGTTGGACGTTGTATAAGGTGTAGGCCTTGTGGAGAATATGACACATTGAGTTTAGCTTTCTTGTAAACCAAGTACTGGGATTTATTTTAGATGATCTGTTTAACTAGTTTAGTAGACAAACAACCAGTTTTACGTTGTGGGTAAAAACGGGACCAACGTTCTTGCAATATTTTTTTAAGAAAATGCAAAGTTTCTTGAATATTGAGCAGAATACACTGGACATATGCGCATTGTGGTCACAGTGTTCTAAAATGGTGAGAGAATTTTAATATAATTCTGTTATATTTGTGAACAGTTAGCTAATCAAAAACACCTTAGGTGTGAAAAGAAATGTGTGGCCCAAAAAAAAAAAGATTCAGCGTGAGATTAAAGGAATGAAATCAAAATTGATAAGAATTTTACAGCAAATATTCATTCGTTAATTAGCCAGGCCGCATTTTTTGTTCAACTTTGTGCCTTTTAATTGGGATAATTTCATAAAATTTTGTAAATTTGTGCTGAGACGTTGGCAATGAATATTCAATAATAACCGCCCACCTGTATGATTCTTGCAATGCAACCTACAATGCAACATGGCACGAAAAGCTACAGATTGTACCTACAATGCAACATGCCATGAAAAACTACAGATAGTACCTACAATGCAACATGCCATGAAAAGCTACAGATTGTACCTACAATGCAACATGCCATGAAAAACTACAGATAGTACCTACAATGCAACATGCCATGAAAAGCTACAGATTGTACCTACAATGCAAAATTTTATGTGCCAGTTTTACCTTGTAAACATGCTCAGAAAATTTATGAGATCCCGAACTAATTATTATTTTTACGGACTAGGTCTAAAGGTCAAATGTCACACCACGTAATGTTTTGTAACCTGAGATAATTTCCATATAAAAATGCTTGATTTTTATTAGGTCTCACTTTTGCTTATTATCTAATATATTCGTGGTGTATAACACCTAGACTGATGAACCCTTCATTATCCATCAGTCGATGATATTATAATACTCTTTGTTCGTGGTGTGTATATAACGTCAAGACTGACGGAGCCTTCATTATCCATCAGTCGATGATATTATAATACTCTTTGTTCGTGGTGTGTATATAACGTCAAGACTGACGAAGCCTTTATTATCCAGCAGTCAATGATATTATAATACTCTTTGTTCGTGGTGTGTATATAACGTCAAGAGTGACGAACCCTTCATTATCCAGCAGTCAATGATATTATAATACTTTTTGTTCGTGGTGTGTATATAACGCCTAGACTGACGAACCCTTTATTATCCAGCAGTCGATCATATTATAATACTTTTTGTTCGTGGTGTGTATATAACGTCAAGACTGACGAACCCTTCATTATCCAGCAGTCGATGATAGGTGTGATATACCGCAATGGCCGATGATAATTCCGTGACTCTGGTTGTTTCTCGTTACGTGAGCGCATAATATCATTTCAAGTACACACTATTTAGATTTTATTTTATAACTCAGTCGGTCTACCCAGTTTGGTGTCTAGCGAAAGCCTCGTCGACAGCGACCATCAACAAACGGGATAATGCTGCTTTGTATTACTGGAAACTCGTAGTGGGTCACTAAAAGATGACACGAGTTAAATTATCATACTGTGATTTATTTTCTTAACCCATAAGTACCCTGGGACCCAGCCTTCACACATAACGAAGGAAGGTTTTCCTTCTGAAACTGTTCGAGTTCTAGAGTTTCTTTTCTCGTGATTAATTTTCTTACTGTAAATATCATACACAGCTTCATAATTGGTAAAAAAAATACGACGACTTAAGCTAAATGGAATTACGTTTTTGTGTTACATAACTACCTGGAATTTAGTAGTAATTATTCTCAGACACAGGGAAGGAACCTTGGCGAAAGGTAAACAACGAAATAATAAACTACCATAACAGAGGCACTTTGTAATGGTAGTTTATGGCACAGAAAACTACTAAAACACATGAACTAGGTAATGGCGAAACGTAAATAATGGCATTTAAAACTTTCACAACACATGTACTATAGATTGGCGAAAGGTAAACAACGAAAT